CATGTTTAGAATAACGTTCTAACAATTATAATAAACCCTATTATGGGCAATAATCATGATGGACTTTATTTATTCGTTTATGAAGTGACAAGCTACGTTGTACAACATAACAAAGCACTTGGTAAAACTTTTCAAAACTTGAGAACATGCTTTCGAAATAAGGAAAGTATTAGATTTCAAGACATGAAATATCATAATTATTTTTGAATTCTATAATGTTGTGTAGTCTACTGCTTCATCTTTGACTCGAATTCAGAGGTGCTTTATACTCTTTTTCCTCAATGGATTCATTATCAAAAACATGTTTTTGTTCGGAATCAAATAGAAATAAGAGAAAAATTAGAGAATCTACTAAATAATTAGAAAAGTTGCTTATGTAAAAACCCTCACTATCACAAAACTTTGACTTCTCACGCTTGAATCGCAGTTTGATTCATATATTTTCTTTTGATTGTTCTAAAGATTTTGGTAGAAACATATCTAGGAGTCGTGAAATTCTGATTTTCGTCATCTCTAAAAATCTGTCTATGTGTTCCAAACTAGACAGGATGCATTATTTACCTACCGAGACATCATCATTGGTGTATATAAAACTTTGCGAGTATTTATCGTAATCCAAGCTATAGATAGAACTACTGAGATATTGTACACTGCAATTCACTCTTTCCTGAAGAAAGTTCTCTTTTCTCAACCTGCCATGTGAACGATAGTTCTCTATCTTTTTCTGACAAGAAATGTGTTTGTTATGACATAATAGCATAATATGCCATGCGGTTGATGGAAACACAAAATAGTATACATTTTCAAGCTTTGATGACCAAGACTTTCTTATTTTTACAATATGCTAAAAATATTCTTTTCTAAACGCTCTGTTTCTATTGAATTATTCTATACCGAAAAAAAATTGTTCTTTGTATAATTGTCGTATCGAGGTTATATTGGTTGACAAAGTTGCAACTTCTATATGATATGTACATGTGAAAAAATTCTGATATCTCAGATGTTTTTCTTCTTGTAGATATACAAAAGTTTGTACTCCTACTATAATCAACACTTGAATGGCATTTAGAGCAATTATATGAATATAGAATGAAAATTCGAACTATAAAAGTATTACTTGATTAATTCGTCGACGAATATCACAATGTCACTTTGGAAAAGCATGATGGTATGAAAAAAACTAGTTGAATGGCTTGTTCATTTTATCCAAAAAAAACAAAATATGTAGATTTTCTTCATCACTATCTAGCTATATATCCTACCGGACATATTCTTGTTTTTTTGTTGTTGTAGAAACCAAGTGGCTACAATGGTCGATAGAATGATTTGGGTGTAGGTGTGAGTGTGGATGTATGGTTTGAGCATTGCAGTCAACCAAACATACCCGCATCCTACATATGGAAGTATTTACTCAGTGTCATTTGATTTACTAATAACATTAAATTATTTTATTAAAGTTAGTTTATCAACATGAAATACTCGAACAGAATCATCACAGCATGATGTACCCTGAACAAATTTCATTTAGTTTTAAATTCAAAACAAATCAACAGATCTTATCTTTCAATCTATCGTCAACCTTGAAATCCTATATTTAAGATAATGTATACGTTGATTTGATTGACGAGTAAAAATGAAAGTTCTTAAATCTTGTTCTTAATTAATTTATATATCAAAGTTATGATCAAGTCAAATAGAGTCTTTCTAAAGTTAGAAAGTGGGTGAGTGATTATTATTTTTCCTATCCATATTGTCTATAGTTAGATGACTAATGAATAAGATGTTGGATTAACAAAAATCAGAAAGACAAATAAAAAGTAGGAGAAACTGAATCGATTACTTACGTACCATATATATCCAATCCGTATATGAATCATTTTCAAATAGAAGAATTAACAAGAAAATTTGCGAGGTTAATCAATTCGTTTATTTAAAAATCTACAACTGATATTGATTTTTTTAAATGATATATTTGTAATCAATAATATTTTATTGTTATAAATAATTTTTACTTTAATCTTATTTACTTTGCTTTAGATATGAATTCTAGTGAATCCAAACATTTTTATTGTAAAATTGATTCTAATGATACTTTCGTATCATCAGAGACGGATACATTCGCTCCGACATGTGTCGTTCTCTTGTTTCATCATTTCCGACTTTATCGCCCGCTGTCAACATTTTTTGCCAAGTGTCGATCATCAGGTTATCTTTTTTAATTATCAATATTTATAGATTAATTGCCACTGTTGATATTTCAAGTGCCAATGCGCCGTCTGATGCCCATCGTTCCTCGTCGTCATCATCGCAGCAGATCTTTCGATCTATTGGTATGAGTATGACTCTTTCAACTACTTTTTTAGATTAATTATTTTTCACATTGAATGTTTTGGATTACATTTGTATCCTCACCACCACCATTGGTATGATTCGTCGTCTACATTTCGAGGCATTTTCTTTCTTCTCTTTCCTTTGAAATATATATATATATATGCGTGCATGTGTGTTTATGATGCTACAGTTAATTGATTTAAAAATAAAATAAAGGTAGAAGATTATGTTCTTCTTAAAAACGAACTCGAAGTGCATTTAATTTAACGTGCAGAAAAGAAGAACATAACAACCATCATCAGCTGGATCAAGACCACTGTCATCATCTAAATCGTCACCGTCCGCGCTACAATTTTTTATAGATGACAATCTTCGTCTACGAAATAAACTTGGTCGTACTCACGTCAATTATCATCGTCTTGAAGAGAACTATCAAGGTTTTCCAGAGAATCATCATGGTCACCAAGACAACTGCCGTAGTCTTCAAGTCATGCTCTCAGAGGTGCGACAAGAACTTGAGGAAACAAAAAAGAAAATATCTTCTGTACACACGTATCTAGAGAATCATTCATTACTGGTGCCACCTCGACGACCTCGGGCACCGACATAATCACTACTTTGAATTTAATCTCTGTTCTTTTTCTTCTTCATTTTGTAACTGTTTTTTATTTTCCTTGGTACAATAAATTAGAAGAAATAAGGATTTCATTCTTTGAAATAATACAAAAAATATTCTAATTTCAACAAAATCTTCAAAATTAATCAATAATATGAATCAATCAATCAATAAATGCCTTCAAATGTTATTAATATTAATTTAATTGAAGAAAATTCTTTAAGTCAAACAAAAAACTCGTCAGAATCAATATAGAAAATGTTTTGAACCAACACTTTTTGAACTTGAATATTCAGATACAAAATGGTTTTACTAGAGACTTTATAAATCATTTTTTTGGTTTTAAAGAATTATCATTTTATTTTCTAGTTACGGTGCATCGAGTTTATAGAATTTAGGTAATATATATTGAATAATTCATCTTCATAAGCTGTTTCAAATTAGTAAAGAAACCAAAGATTTGATCATTTTTTTCCTTGTATTTTGATTTATTTAACTGAAGTATTTCATTGATAAGTTATCTTCTTGATTGCATTCCATTTATTCTGAATACATCGTATTATTGTATCAAGGAAGAAAAAGCTGATTCTATGATGATAGAATCCTTGAAGCCAGACAGAATCAATAGAATCACTCGAATTCAGTATATTTAATCGCTGTAAATCATAAAGATTCATCTGCAATCATATTGAATAATTAAAAATAAACGTGATCCATCTTCACCAGTATCTATGTGTATATAAAATGTTTCAGATAATAGGAACTTCTATAACCGATAACTTCTATTTGTAACAAAGGAGAAAAGCTGACTCTGAAGCATCGAAGTCAAATGGAATCACTGGAGAATGTGAGTGACTCTGAGTAACTTCGAGTGACTACACTGATTCCAAGTGATTCAAATGCTCTGGAATCATGTGTTTTCCTCTTGAGTTAAGTCAGTTTTTCATGTAAAGCACGAATCTGATATTGAATTTTCGTTTAACCGGACCAAAGTCAGAATTAGACAAGGAGGAAACAACTGATTCTGTAGTATTGTAATCTATAGAATCACTTCGAATCAGTGAAATTAGGTGAAGTCAGAGAATCCTGGAATCAGCTTTTTCCTCCTTGCATCGTATTGATGAAAACTCATCAGATAATAAATTAAATGGGAGACTATTGAAAACCTGTTCGAAAGTGGGGTGTGAGAGAATAGACATTCAACCCACACCCAAACCCACACCCACACCCCAGCTGTTCAATTTGCTATGAAGCCAGAAAAGATAAAGTTCGCTTGTTCAGCTAGTGAAATATTAACAATTTTTTTTTGCATTATCACAATTTTCTAAATATATGCGACAAGTTTTTTTTCGTTGAATATATATTAATCAGAGATCATAATGTAATATAACAAAAACGTGTCACATGAGATAAATAAAAAAGAAACATTCTTCATAATCTTCGAAATTTATTTTTAGAAAATATAAAATCAAATTATAATTGGTACTAAAACTAATCTTTTAAATGACGATTAATAAAAGCAAGTAAACCACTTAGTTCATCAAAAATTTCAACGCTTTTTGGAGGATCTGGTTTTTGTTCTAATAAAGCTGTTTTACTTTTTGTATAAACTCCAAGAGATTTTGTACCAAGATTAAGATTTCGAAAAAGTTGAGCAACATCAGTAAAATATTTGTCTTCTTTTCGATAACAGCCTTGACATATAGTAATAAATTTTTCTCGTTCTTGTATTTCACGTAAATTCTTATTTAAATATTCTTCTGCATCTTTATATGTTGATTTAAAGATGATTTCTAATGTTGGATGATTTTTTTTAATTTCATTAGTTGTTTTTGGATCATTTTCAGGTCTAACAATCCAAAGTAACAGTGGTTTCAATGAAGGAATTCTTGATGTGTCGTGAGTTCTGAAATTCGATGATGATGATGTATGTGAAGACACTAGAAAAAAATTGGATTTAGATAGAAGATGAAAACTTCGCTCATTTATATTTGATAGACTATCCACTAGTGGACATGGCAATGTTGGAGATACTAGTGATTTATTTTTATCCGGAAAGTGCTTTAAAATAAATTTTTGTTTATGAGAAAAAATTCTTTGAAGAATGAAGTAAAATCCGACTAAAAGGACTGAAATTATTTTATATGGTTAAAATTATAAAAGAACATAAATTTTGACTAATCGTTTATGTTATTCATCTTAAAACTATGACAATATGCTGTCAATCATATATGTTGTAATTCAAAGAAAGTGTGTTTCAATCTCACTACTACCTAACTAAAGATTAATTATAGTCAAGCTAGACAATCGAACCATTTAACTGAGACTATATCAAGTATTTGTACTTTATTCCTATTACTCCAGTTTATTCTTATAATAATTTCTAATCATGATTGGTACCATATAAAACTCAAATGATCGAACAAGAACAGTTTCATATTAGATTATATCTTCTTCTCATAACTATAATTAGCTTACAAGTAAAAAGATTAAAGATCAGCGTAGAAGCTTATCGACTATAAGATGTATGCTTTCAAATTCCCATCAATAGTTTTATTAGAATTCTCAAGAAATATTTCTCTTTTACTTACTTTCATTATTTTGTATATGTGATACTCGGCAACCTGCATTCCATTGTGCTTCTTGTTTACCTCCAACAAATTCTTTTACTTCAAATTTTTTATTTGTTACAGTAACATTAGGAAATTCAAGCGCTGCTTGTATTTCATCAAGTTTATTTGTCCAAATTAGAACAGATACTTGTGATATTTCTGAACGAATAGCACGAATAACATCAATTGCTGCTTTATCATTTGGTGTTTTCCATCGAGTAACAACTTTAAATCTGATATGCGGTTTTTGAATTAATTCTTGATTAGTTTTAATCCATTGTTGAGCGTCTTCAATTGTTTTAACAATAGTCATTTCATAATCACAATCAGTATATGTTGATAATGTAGGAGTGTTTTGTGAATTTTGAATATCTTTAATAAGATTTTCAATACTTTCAATTTTTTTATCACCTATTATCCATAATATATGAAAACTGTAACGAATCATAGTCGATGGAGGACGTTGTAGGCTCAAACCAGTAACTGTTGGTGCAGGTAGAAATTTTTTGCAATCATATGGAAATATATCTTCAGCTAGAACTTCAACTCCACTCATTTCTCTTGTTGGCCATGGATTTGCTAATGATAATTGTGCAACAGCTTGTGGCTCTATACATTTTGATGCAAATTGTAATTCATCATCTGTTATTAGTCTGGATTTATGTGGCCATTCAGGATTTGCTTCAAGACGCTTTCGAGTTTCTTGTAATTTTCTAATTAAATTTTTTGTATATTTTTCATAACAATGATTCAAATGAGCATAGTAATAAGATGCTTCAACAGATATATCAATTGGATTAATTAAAACACGTAATGAACGACCTTGTTGTTCACGTGCACGAAGACGAGCCATAAAACCTTCATAATCAAGAAAATCTAAAAATCGAAATGGTCTACGGATATTTATTGAATTATTTATTGTACATGAACGAAGAATATTACGTGCTAATGCTATAGCACTTTTCATTCCACTATTCATTCCACGGCCAGGCCAAAAATGAACACACATTGCGGCATCACCAGCAAGAAAAACTAATGCAGTTTTATATTTTTTTTCATCATGTTTACGAATTTCTTGTTCATTTCTATTAATTTCATAACGAAGTTCACGAACAACAATTGATGCATGACGAACATTAATTTCGATGGGTACAACACGAAAAACATAGTTTGACGGAATTTTAAAAAAATGTAAACCTTGTCGAATAATTGTCCAAATAGGTGATTGCGGACATTTATTAAAATCTAATAAATCTAATGGTTCCTTACGTGATTGAAATATTTCTAAACGATTTTGTAATTCATTATATTCATCTTGAACTAGACGAATATTTAAATAACCACGACGACTTGTTGATGAATTAACTAGATAACGAGTTTGAGAAATCGTTAAAATACAATTAAGTGCTTGATGAAGTGGTTCTTCTGATGATGGAACATGATTTGGAATATTATAAGCTACACCACATGCATATTCAAGACCTTCACTTATCATTTGAATATTACAATAACGACGCACAAATGAATTAGAACCATCTGCACCAACTAATATATCAAAATTACCTGAAAAATAAATAAATAAAATTATTTTTCTTTGAATTGAAAACAATTGAAAGAACCTTTAATAAGACATTCTGATTGTTCATGTAAATTTTCTGTAATTAATTCAATTTGACCACTTCGAACAAATGGTTGTATTAAATCAAAAAGACGATCTTCTACTTCTCTAATTGGAATATTTCTTGATGTTGGCCAAACACGTTCATTTATATTTTGAAAAAGACCTTCTTTTATATATTCAGGCATTTGTTCTATAACATGATCTTGTAATGTAACAACTTGGTCACGACGTGTTCTTCCTTCTTCTTCACCTTGCCAACGTATTTTACCTTGTTGATCAACAAACCAACGTCCTTCATAAATAATAATTTTAACGTGTTTCCCCATCATCATTGTTAAATGAAGTGAAAATGTTAGACCAACTGGTCCACCACCAGATACAACAACAATGATTGGTCGATTGACTTCAGTTGTCGATGTCATTTTAACTTTAAGAACTCACAATTGCAAGTAAATGGCAAAACGTTACAGAAGTTCTTTTTTATAGATATAAAATAAATCTGATTGTTTTTTTGCAGAAAAAGAAAAAAGAACGAAATTTTTCGAGAATAAGCCTTATTCCCAATTCGCTTGTTGGTTCCCAACAAGCATAAAAAAGAGCCATGTACTAATTTATTTGTTGCTAAGGGCGGCTCTCTTCTTTCATCCATCTTTTTCTCTTTTTCAATGAGTATGAATATTTTTGATCACCAAAAAATATAGATTTGATCACCAAAATGTGCTTGTTGCGAAATGATCACCAAAAAAATATAAATTTGATCACCAAAAGTTTTTCTTGCAAAATGATCACCAAAAGTTTTTCTTGCAAAATGATCACCAAAAAACTATAAATTTGATCACCAAAATTTTTTCTTGCGAAATGATCACCAAATTTATTAATAATAGGAAAACAGAGCAATTAGTGAGAGAAAGTATAGTTATACCCATAGTAACTCTAAAAAACAACAACATTAGACAGACCTGAATAAGGAATAGGAATAGAAACAGTACAAAAAAATGTCATGGCAAAAAAATATCTCAATTTAATGTATGCCAATATCGTTGATATTGGCATACATTAAATTGAGATTTTACGATATCTCTTGCTTCATCATATGACTTCTCTGTGTGCCGTAATATCCACTGATTATTTGCCATTTTCTAATGTTCTGTATCTTGATGATACTGAGACATCCTTTATAATTGTTCTGAGTTAATAGGATTATTTTTGTCAAATGAGATTATTGTTGATTAATCTCGTCCGATGGATTGATTAACTTATGAGATAAAAATTCATTGAATAAAAATGGACTATGTATTAATTAAAATAAGCAACCTTGTCACAATCTTCCAAATTAGAAATTTGGTGATCAAACGTAAATTTTTTTGGTGATCATTTCGCAAGAAAAAATTTTGGTGATCAAATGTATATTTTTTTGGTGATCATTTCGCAACAAGCACATTTTGGTGATCAAATCTATATTTTTTGGTGATCAAAAGACAATTTTCCCTTTTCAATCGTTTTGTTGGAACGTTCCAACAAAACGATTGAAAAAGAGAAAGGGAAAAATGTCTTTTGATCACCAAAAATTTGAGTTTTGATCACCAAAAAAATGTGTTTTGATCACCAGATTTTCTAGCTGCGAAATGATCACCAAAAAATTAGTGTTTTGACCACCAAATTAATTATGATATAAGTCAATTAAAATAGAACAAAATCGTTATCGAGGTAACCCTTGATGACCATGTCATCTTCCAATAATCTTCTTTTCTACATATGGCATGATCATCGTTCTTTATACTATAAACAACACACATGTAAACACTCCGTTGGACTAGGTACAATCTTCAACATGTATCAGGTCACGGGCAAAATTCGTTGTGAACCATTAGGGCAAAGAAAAAGTAAAAGTCGTCCAAAAAAAGTTCGTAAGCTCTATTTCTGTAAAAATTTTTTTGTATATTGTATTTCTCTTATTTATGATTTATTCATGTAGCGTTGTCAATATATTTTTTTCTATATGTTAATCTTATTTTTGTTGATAATAAATTTGGTGATCAAAACGCTAATTTTTTGGTGATCATTTCGCAGCTAGAAAATCTGGTGGTCAAAAAACAATTTTTGTGTACTCAAAAAGTGAGTACACTCTAGAATCGGTCAGTGTGTCCGTCCGTTTACACGATAACTTTTGAAAGAGCAGTCCGATCACGATGAAATTTTCTACACAGCTTAGTCTCAACAATATCTCGGTCGAGTTCGAAGATGAGAATGATTGGCCGAGCTATTGCTGAGTTATTACAAAAATAGTCATTTTTTCCTATGCTTCCCTAAGCGAAGATCGACCTATCTCCGCTTTCGTAAAAAACTTTTCCTATCATAGTCAAATAAAACCCCAACTAGTATATACCATTCGATAGAGAATTTCACGAGCTACAAAATGGTATATAAAACATAAGGAAACAAGAAAGCTAACTCAGCTATTGCAAAGATAATTAAACGGAATTCGGTTCTGTGTTTGTCCACGCTCTAATTGATCCATAAATAGAGCTCGTTCTTCCGATCACAGAGATGATAGTTCAAGGTTTTCTGGGGTGGAGAACTCGAATCTGTGTTCCATTCGCCTCGAACTTTCATTGGTTGAGCAATGACCAATAGAAATCAAGTTATAGGAAAAGCGAGTTTCTTAGGGTAAATGAAGGTGAAGAGTTCAAATCTGAGCTGTATCTGCCTCCAAATCCTATTGATTGAGCAGTAGTCAATAGAATTCAAGTGTTTATAGAAAAGGTTTCCCTGGATAATTGTTATGTCCACACATTCTAGGATGACTCATCTGTCTAATTCACTTTTTGAAGTACACATAACTCTCGGATTTAAATCCGAGGTTTCCACATTTATTTTGATGATCATTTCGCAGCTGGACAAATTTGGTGATCAAAACTCAACTTTTTGGTGATCAAAAAAATTCAATCCCAAAGAGAAAACGATGGATGAAAGAAGAGAGCCGCCCTTAGCAACAAATAAATTAGTACATGGCTTCTTTTTATGCCTGTTGGGGGGGGGGGGGGCAACGAGCGACTTGGGAATAAGGCTCATTGTAATAACAACATAAGTGAGACGAAAACAAGCGCATTTTTGTTTTACTATGTCATTTCTCAATACGCCTGCATCTATCTAACACACATATTTACTAATATGTCATATACCATGTTGGAAAAATCCAGTCTTGATTTTTTTTTTATTTAATAATGTATTTACTTATAAGAGAAAGTTGAAATAATTAGGGTGAACAACGCCAAAAATTCCTACTTAAAGTGCATGATTACCCATATGGAAATTTAAACAAAAAAAAATCTAGGTTGAAGTAACTTATATTCCTTGTTGAAAAGCGCACATTTTAAGCAGCCGTACAGCGCTTACAATTACATATTTAATCGGTTCTAAGCACTAGATTTGAACAGACAAACATTCTTAGTGATCCGATCCTATTGCCGCCATACGGTGCCTATGTATAGAGGACATTATAAAAGCATAATTTCCAAAAAACTTCGACTCTTGCCCATATTTATTTCAGATAATGGCTTTTCACTGAATTTCTTCTGGACGAGCAGTTTTCGAAAAAAAGCATATTTTTGAATTTCGACTAAAGACTCTGTATACATGAGATTCTCAGTTAGACTATCTCATACATTAAATTTCATTAGTTTGGAATATGGCATTGCCAGGGTATGCACTTCTCAAAATATTTACGCTTTTCTTAAATATTGTGTACAACAGGGATATTTTGAGAAATTCATATCTTAACAATGCCATATTCCAAACTGATCAAAATTTATGCATAAGATAAACCCTCCCCTTCCCCCCCCCCCTCCACTAAAATAAAACGCCACCCTATAATAGAAAGCCATCCGGAATAGAATGCCACCTCCGAAGTTTTGATTCACTGTACATAATAGAACCCCATGTCAATTAATTTCATTAATTTCATTCACTCACTCATTCACATAAGTCACTTTTTCGTCCGTCACTGATACAGGTCATCCGTAGGACGAAAAATTTGTATATTTCTTTTTTTTCGTTCTGTTGCATCATACAATGAACGAATATACGATTCTCTCCAATAGATAACGTGCAATAATGAATGACAAAACGAAAAAAATGGCTGGTGTGAATGAGTGAATGACTGCTATTTCTTCCATCTCCAGTAAAATCAACGAATAAAGCACATTATAGTGATTAAAATAGATAAAACTAGCAGAAAAAATGCCAAAAAAAAATGAGCATAGGTATAGAAAGAATTCTCCGAAAAATTCATAATAGAAGGCCACCCACAATAGAACGCCACCAAAAGATGGCCGATTTACTGGGACGTAATAGAAGGCCATGCCTTTTTATTCTTGGAGGGAGTTTAGTCTAATTGAGAGCTTCATCCATACAGAGTCACAGCAGATCAAAATTCAAAAATATGTTTTTTTTCGGAAACTGTTTGCCCAGAAGGAGTTCGGTAAAAAGGTCTCCTTACCTAGAATAAATATGAGCAAGAGCTGAAATCTTTTGGGGATTATGCTATTCTAGGAGTCCTCTATATATGGGCACAGAATGGCGGCAATAGGAGCCAATCGTCTATGAATGATATTTCGTAAGTGGTAAAAGACCTGTTTACAGTTCACTTTCTGCAGAGAAAGAGTACTTCCTAACCATTGGACATTTGGTCTCAAGTTCGAAGACAATTAGTTCGCTAAAAATACTTCATTTTAATATTATAATATTTTTGACTAGTAAGTTTTGTTCTCAACACTTTCTATACAAACTAATGTAAACTGACGCTATACAAGGATTCGGAATGAAATAAAAGGAAGTGACACTGACTAATTAACATAAAAAATCTCAGTTGACTGTGAACGAAGCTCTTATCAAGATTAGTATATATCAGTGCGTACTTAAAAATTCAAAGACACTATTTGAAAAAAGAATAAATAGGGTAAGTCGGGGTGAATGTAGACAAAAAATTAATGAGCTCACGTATATTGTCTATAACTTTTTTATTTTTCATTTTTTTGAAAAACTTTCTTCACAAGATACCTAACTGAATCTCTCCTCTATCGACTGGTGAAATCCGTTTTTCAAAATCTTGTGCGTATCGCTATCTACAAGGTGTTCTTTGAGAGCTACTTTTCGATTCTACATTCACCCCAAATGGAGTGAATGTAGAATCACGCTGGTGCTATTGGGGTGAATGTAGAATCTCAGCTATTTTCTACATAATTATTAAAATCTAATTTTTAAGCGTTTAATATAATATTTTTTGGTGATTTTTTCACCAGTTGATAGCCTAAAGTCTTTTCTATTGCTCTAAACTAATCTTACGATTATAAGTCAAGACTGTCTTTTTTATAACGCTTGCAAAAAGAGCTCCAAAAAAAATTTTGTCTATATTTACCCCATA